CCCCAGGGATTGATAGTACATAAAGTACAGTCACATTGAACCCAATGAAATCACTCCTTCTCCCAATCTATCCAGAGGGTCCCCATAGCCCTCATGATGGAATAGCAACAGCAGATCCCAAAACTCAATCCTCCCTTTATGTGTGTGTGTGTGTATGTGCACACACACACACACACACACACACACACACACAGTTTTTATTAACAACCCCCAAATATGTGCTGATTCGGACTAGTGCACATGCAAATGGATCTGCAGCAAGTGTATCACACAGGACCTCTGATTCGCCCTTTGATAAAATCTATCCCTTCTATATCAAATCTATCCCTTTTATATAAAAAGTATTCCTTCTATCATTACCCTTCTATAAACTTCCTAACATAATTTCCCTAATCTACCCCTCCCCACTTTCCGGTCTATTATCTGCTGATCCAGAGATGTGTACGTGCATAGCAGTTAACAAGAAAAATGAAACAATATGACAGCTTCTTCTATAAAATGTATCTGTTCTGACTTATTCTAAATATACTGTATCCCTTTGCCTCTCCTCTTTCAGCCCTTGCTATCAAATATAGTTTATTTCTGAACTCCTGCTTTTAAATATATTTTATTTCTAAGCATTGAACCCTTCAACTCTGCCTGACCCAGGCAGAGACTGTGACTACCAGGGATGTCTTGCTGTACCTCAAATAGAGGGTGCAGCTTAAACAAACAACTCTGGCTGATGAGCTAATGATTCCCATCTAAAAGTTGACCGAAGTCCGGCTGAGCCATCAGGTATACAAAGCCCTGCACAAAGGACATCTGATCACCCAGACATCCAAAAGGGATATTTCTTTATTTGACCAGCCTGAGAACGGACTGAACAAATCATCACCAATTGTATCCGGCATCCTGGCCTCTTTGTGTACATAAACCTGTAATCTTCATGCCCTGACATTCATTGTTTTTGGAACAACAAATTAAGCCCTCCAAATACAGACAATAGTTCCTGAGGACTTCCCTCTGCCCAGGGAAACACCCTAGCCGGCTGATTGGCTGCCCCAGGGCTTCCCCATCCGGCAAGGAGGGGATCCCCAGCAGCGTCATTGGAGCCTGCACCAACCAGGAGCCAAGCTGGCTTAGTCCCACCTCCTGACCAATCAGGAGTGAGGGTGGTGGGCGGCCATCCTCCATACTCAGTCAATCATAGACTGGGGAGGGAAAATTAAATGGAGACAATGTTAATGCATGGATTTTACTGTATAAAAATTGTTATACATTCCAATCTGGTTATGGTTGTACATTTTGGCATTCTTTCCTTTACCTTGCATCCCTTCTGCAGAATGTAATTAAAGCCTCTGGTGGGTTTCTCTTTGTTGATTAGGAAAGCATTGGCAGGTAACATACCTCAACAGGAAGGATCCTAACTGAGGTCTATAGCTTTTAAATTTCAGTTTCATCATGTTTTTGCACAAGTGCGCTATTCACAATTTTACCCCACTAGAATTATAACAGATTTAGTACAAGGAAGTACCGTTGGTGAAAGAGCAGATGGAAACGATAGAGCAGACTTCCCTACATGGACTGTGCCCACCAGTCCATGTAGGGATGAGAAAACCAGTTTTGAATTTGCTTTCATATTCAAAATTTTCAAACCTCAAGTAGTTTCCATCTTAAATATTATAAAACACTGTAGTTTTTGTGAAGTTCTTCAAAGCAGACTGAATCAAAATCTTCTCCAGTCTTAACAGTAGATACAGACACTAATACAGAAAATGAATACATTTTATTATTACAGTCACAGACCAGGAGTGTAAAACTGGTAAACATTAAAAACAGAGGGTTTTTTTTGTAAATAAAAGCGTTAACATTAAGAGAAGACTAGATAATGCCCCCTGTTGCATACACTCAGTCCCCGAGTTGCAAACATCTGACTGACAACGACTCATAGTTACAAATGGATGAGACAACAGAAAGTGAGAGAAATCTACCCCAGAAAGGAAATTCATTTTTGGAAGAGTTATCCTGGGAAAAAGGTGTCTCCACTGAAGCTTTATCACCAATCCTTGTTTCCACAACAAGGCACATTTTTCAAAATACAATTATCACAGGGATATATACTTTAAAATATACCTGTTCTGACTTTCATACTAATTCAACTTAGGAACAAAGCTACAAAACCTATGTTGTTCATAATTTAGGAAAAGATGAAAATCTTCTTAGGCAAAAAAACAAACAAAAAAAACAAAAAACAAAACAAAACCCAGTAGCAACTCTAATTCATTACTGCACGAATATTGAATACACAAATATACAAGAATCCGCTTTGAAGAGTGACGCACAGAAAAGCTGGGACTCATTGGATAAAAGTATCCGCTTAGGTGCCTGATGTTTTTCAGTCTGTTTAAATCTCATGCTCTTTCCATCTTGCTTATAAGCAATTTACAAAATGTGATAAAATCTATCTACAGTATCTATCTATCTATCTATCTATCTATCTATCTATCTATCTATCTATCTAATTTGTACCCTGCCTTTCTTCCAAACTGGGATTCAGGCTGCTTACAATAAATTAAAAAATATAGGTAAAACATAATTACAAAAGTTAAAAGGACATTAAATATCATAATTATTAGAATAGGATTTAACACAGTTAAAAACACTTAAAAATGGAAATTGGCAATAAATGATAAACTAACATGCAATTTAAAGGTTTAAAAAGGCCTTAGGAAGGATAATGATTTTGAATGTATATGGACATTTATTGAAGAAACATTAAGGAAAGAAGATGGGAACCAACTCCCACCAGAAGAAATGAGGTTCTGTTGGGAGAATAAAGAAAAGAAGAACTCCGGAGATGGGGAGCAACACAATGGGGGGAAAGGAGATGAAGTACATTCTATTTATTTTATTTGTCGTGTCAGGGCAACCAGTCAAATTATATTACATTTCTAACAGAACAAAGCAAACAAACAGACAAAATACAAAATTTGCGAGTTTGGTAGTTGATTAAATGTCCTTTGACCAGTATCTGGCCACTTGGAGTGCTTCTGGTGTTGCTGCAAGAAGGTCCTCCATTGTGCATGTGGTAGGGCTCAGGTTGCATTGCAGCAGGTGGTCAGTGGTTTGCTCCTCTCCACACTCGCATGTCGAGGATTCCACTTTGTGGCCCCATTTCTGAAGGTTGGCTCTGCATCTCGTGGTGAAAGAGCGCAATCTGTTCAGCGCCTTCCAAGTCGCTCAGTCCTGTGTGCCCAGGGAGGAGTCTCTCATTTGGTATCAGCCATTGGTTGAAGTTCTTGGTTTGAGCCTGCCACTTTTGGACTCTCGCTGAGGTGTTCCAGCAAGTGTCTCTGTAGATCTTAGAAAACTATTTCTAGATGTAAGTTGTTGACGTGCTGGCTGATACCCAAACAGGCGATGAGCTGGAGATGTCTCTGCCTTGGTCCTTTCACTATTGGCTGCTACTTCCCGGCGGATGTCAGGTGGTGCAATACCGGCTAAGCAGTGTAATTTCTCCAGTAGTGTAGGGCGCAGACACCCCGTGATAATGCGGCATGTCTCATAGAATGTACTTAATAAGACATGCAGTACATTCTATGAATTGTAGAGATTGGGGGGTTTTTTTGTAATGAAATGAATAGAACTGCAATAAAAATTTACTAAGAAATAAAAAACACTTAAAACATAATTTTAAACTACACATCACTCTCTCACACACTAGAATTTCATAATTAACATTCATACTTTAAAAACCTGTCTAAATAAAAATTTATTCACCTGCCAGCAGAAAAAATTCAAGGAGGAGGCCAACTGGAGTTTGCTGGGAGGAGTTACGGAGCAGCTCTTTCCCAAGTCCTCACCAAATGGTTCTGTAAAGATGGTGCAACTGAGGCTCCCTTTTACACTACCATATAATTCAGTTCAGAGCAGATAATCTGAATATTATATGGCAGTGTAGAAGGGGGCGGGGAGAATGCCCTCCTCTGCAAATGTTCATACTTGTGCTGTCTTATATGAGGAGATACAATCTTTCAGATAGTCTGGACAGGAGTTGTGAAGGACTTTAAAGCTCAAAACCAGCATTTAATTCTTCTCAAAATGAACCAGTACCTGTTTCAACAGGTAAGTTACATGATTTCAAAAAATAATTTCATACCAGCTCACCTGCCAGGGGCTTGATAAAAACTGTTCCCAGTTTAGGAGTTCAACAACAATAGCAACAAGAAATTGGAATCTTAAGCAGGGCATAGAACATAAGCTGGTGAGCAGCATTTGGCTTGGAAGTTGCAAAAATCTAATTCAATAAAGAAGCAGAGATTTCAAATACAGTGAGTAGAAGTGGGGAAACTACAGGCTAAACATGGCCCATAGATCTGTTTGTGAAGCCTATATATCTCACTAGAATTCTTCTAAGGCTATAGATTTGCCCCCAAATGATTCTATTGAGGAAACATCAGAATGTCTGCTCCAGGAAGCCCTCCACCCCAGATTTGTATGTTTAAGCATTCTAGCTGGCAGATTATGGAAGTTGCTTTGTGTTGTTGTTGTTGTTCATTCGTTCAGTCATCTCCGACTCTTCGTGACCTCATGGACCAGCACACGCCAGAGCTCCCTCTGCTTTGTAGAAAAGCAGAGGGAGTTGCTTACAAAGTTGCTTTGTAGAAAGGTTATTTTTACACCAAGAGATAAATATACTAACATTACATATTTTAGACATGGCAGCAAAATTCCATTCAGAGTAACATTCCATTTAGATAGCTGTTTTTAACATTTGTACATGATTTCTAGAAGTTTCTGAAGTGACCCAATGTTTGCACTGGCAATGATAGTATACCTGTATCACTCGAAGTCCAAGAAGTAATCCCTACATCAAAGACATTCAAAAGCCAGCACTCAGCATAGGAAATAGAGAGAAAGGCAGAATATAAGGAGGAGGAGGGGAGGAAGAAGAAGTACTGAAACAACACTTTGTTGCAGGCTAATGACAATGTGAAGATCTAAGAGGAAAACCTATATTTGTGCTTTCTAGTTCTCCTAGAATTCAAGTTTCCTTTTAACACTTTGGACAGCTTCTGTTGCTTTATCAGAACAGTTCATCTTTTGAGGAGTCTCTGGTCCGAGCTGAATTCTTTCCATCTCTGCTATTTTACATGGACTCTCCAAAACTTCATCGACATCAAGTTGTGATGCAGCAAAATCTAAAATTATTTAGAAAACAGCCATTACAATCAAATTTGGTGCTCAAAATAGTAGGGACAGTGGAGACAAATGTGAAACTGGAATAGTCTTTTTATGGGCACATTTGAATTGCTTTGTAAAAACTGTTATCACAACTCCGATCACAATCATTTCTACATTCAGAGTCCATTTACTATGATGCTAGTCTAGATTGCCTGGGTTGTCCAGATAAATTTTTTGTGACAATTTCAGTTATTACAGTGTCAGGTTGTGCCGCCAAACACCATGTGGACTAACAATACAACTTTTAGTTCTCTCACTATTGGTAAGTACTTCTTCATGCAAAATCTTAATTAGTGGAACTGCATTCTTCACATTTTTAATAAAATGTTAATATTACCAGAAATGATGAATGAGTCGATTGTGCTGTCATGGATACATGTGTTCATTTCCTTTCTGGACTTTTCTTCTCTCTTCGTTTCATTTTCCTGGGACAAAATAAATTTCAAAAACCAAGTTGGGATGGAACAGTGGAAAACATGTTTGATTCAATCAAGCTGAAAAGCATGTGTCGATTTGTAATGTGGTTCAGAAATCAACAGCAGTTCACAGATGTGTATGATCAGTGTCACTGGCCTAATCTTTTTCTGGTCAGCATTATTGGCAAGGATACTATTATCGCTGCTATTGTTGCTGGGTGAATTGTTTTATCTGGAAACTTCCCTGACTGCAATTTTAGGAAGGCTTCAGAGTCTCTCTATAATGTTATGGATTTTTGCAAATCTGGAATTACATCTCTTGATATTTTCAGTTGCCTGTCCCCCATTCTGATTTTTGCCAGTATCTTGTACTAAGACTTTGCTGACCAGAGATCCCTACTCAGACATGGAGACCCACTGGGTGATCCTGGGCAAGTGACACCATCTCAGCCTCAGAGGAAGACAAAGGCAAACAAACTCACTCTGCCAAAAACCTCCCATGATAAGGTTGCTTTAGCATTGCCACAACAACAACAACCCTGCCTCCATCACCCTGAAGGGACTTGGAACAGCTTACATATGGCACAATGTGCCTAAAACAACACATAAAATAAACACACAATACAATACAAGATAAATCCAATAGCATATAAAACAAAATCTCAAAACAGCAACCAATAACCTATGATAACCAATAATCCATGAAGTCAGAAATGACTTGAAGGCACGCAACAACTTGGCAGTGATTAGAAAAAAAAATTAGACACTTTAAGGTGCTTTTATCCCAACTATTGTCACCACCATCACCCTTCAGCATTCAAGATGGATAGAAGTGTTATTAACTCCATTGGCACTGTTGTGGGAAACCCATGGCCCTCCAGATGTTGTTGAACCAATTCTTAGCAGCCCTAGTCAGCATAACCAAAGATGGGGAAAGCTGAGCATCATGATTCAACAACATCTGGGGCAGGGGAGAGAGTTAATAGATGTCTATGCATGCATTAATTGGACTGAATTTTGCAAAACTTTTGTAAGTTTCCCTTTTTGTTTTGATTCTGGAAATAATTTGCAATAGTTTTGCACCAATTAAGCCCCCTCCCTTCTCCTGTATTTTGGTTCTCTTTGCAGACTGCACAGAGCCAAAAATTTACTTTTTATCAAAACCGAATGGAAGTCACAATAATGGATGTGCCTCAGAATATGCCTTTAGAAGATGCTGTTCTCAACCACTGAACCACGATTTTCAGAAACTGACATTTCTGTTGACTACAACTTCCAAAATCCACCTGGGATTATGGGAATTGTAGATTACACCATTCCCTTTTTAAGTAAGATGAAGCAACTCTATATAGCTTTTAAAAGCTCTGTTCCTGTTCAACTTTGTTAATCTCTGTTGCTTTGTACATGACCTTTTAAGGCATATGAGCATAATAGTTTTGTAAAAGGGCTTTAATGGCAGCAGTGTAAATGCTTCTTTCACTTACTGTAAAATTGTCATCCTTTGCTTGCTTCCAAAGTGCTGCCAGATCATCCGCATTCTTCTTGCTTTGCTCATCCAAATCTGGCCATGGAGTAAATGTTTTTAATGGGTGCACAAATAAATAGAAGCATTCTTCAAAGTCAGGTCTGTCCATCATTTTGAGTAGGACACCAATCCTCTTCAGAAGATAGAGGCCTTTTCGTTCTTTATTTAAAAAATATGGCCTTGAAGCTTTTATTTCCATGGACAGCCCTTTTCTTGATGCTAAGAAAGAAGCTAACTTATCACTGCATTTATGGCAAGGCGTGTGTGACATAAAGAATGTCATTTTATATTTTCCTTTGAGCTGATTTTCTGGGATGAATTGTTCAATATTACTCAAAACCAAAATTTCAGCATGTTGGTGACCAGGATCATTGTAGGCATAACCCCATATCTCCCAGAGATTACTGCTCTGTTTTTTAAAACTAAACAGGATTAAGGTTTTTCTGATTTTGACTGTATTGTTAAAGTTTTCTTCAAAGTCTTTTTCAGGCAGTTGTTCTCTGAGAAAGCAGGGCGTTTTATCTGATTGCATTGAGCTGGATGGCTTGTTGAATCTATTAAGGAATGAAATGAAAGGGGATATAAAATTGGGATGACCTATAGTGGTACTCTCCATGAATATTGTACATTGTCACAAAATCCTAGTTATACTTACCTGGGACAAAGTCTTACCAAATTTACTGTGACTTATTACTGACCAAATAGTCCCTGGTGGTGCAGAAGGTTAAACCACTGAGCTTCTGAACTTGCTGACGAAAGGTTGGCAGTTCAAATCTGCGAAGCGGGGTGAGCTCCCACTGTTAGCCCCAGCTTCTGCCAACTTAGTAGTTCGGAAAATGTGAGTAGATCAATAGGTACCGCTCAGGTGGGAATGTAACAGTGCTCCATGCAGTCATCCTGGCCACATGACCTTGGAGGTATTTACAGACAACGCCGGCTCTTTGGCTTAGAAATAGAGATGAGCACCACCCCCCAGAGTTGGACACGACTAGACTTAATGTCAAGGGGAAAGCTTTACCTTTACTATGTTTAGCATTGTGCTATAAAAATACTCTCTAAATGTTTAGAATATACATTTGAAGCTGATCTCAGTGGAACACATGCTTTCTCAAACAATTATGGTCTACTTTTCTTTTACCAAGCCGATATTTCTTTTTCTATTACTTGTCACCCTTATGCCTACTTCACTTTGTACCTTCATCTCCACTTCTTTGTTCTCTCTGCCTCTGATTGAGTAAAATAAGGTGCATTCTTGCAGCAGGCAATATGTAGATCTCTAGACTAACTGAAACTCTCATAATCCATCACAGTTGGCAGCAGTGGAGACTGCTGACTTCTATGGTTGTGAAGTGATGAATCTGCCCAGAGCTTTAGTATGAATTTTAATGGGATTATTCCTGGTGCTGAAACTATTTTGAGAACCTAGTTCACCACCTTGGATACCTCACATAAAGGTATGGAATGGATTCCTCATCCCACTGATATGAGAGCTGCCGGTTGCTACTTATTGGACTAGTGGTGTAAAAAACATCTAGAGGGCTATATATACTGCCCAAAAAGATGAAGAGAAGAAAAAGTTCACCACTCACCCCACTGAGAAGGCAGTTGTTTCAAAAATAATCTTTTTTCCAGAAGAAAACAGAAAACTGTCTCTCAAAGAGAGGCCATGCCTGTCTTATTTGGACAGAGGTGCTACAACTTTGAGACTCCTTTGGGAGAGATAAAGAGAGGTATAAACAAATATGATAATCATAAATAATAACTGACAAAACAAAGATTGGGGGAGGGATTAACAAACTATAAATGAAATTGCCTGAAGAATCATTTCCGTATGAACACTATCTCATTTGTAAACTTGCTGTGGTTTTTAACTTTAAATATGTTTTAATGGTTTTTAATTGTGAATTTCTAATACTGTTTATATGTAATTCTGTTTTAATGTTTGCACATTTGGATTTTTTAAATTGTGTGCTAATGCTTTTGTGTTAAGCCACTTTGAGTATCTTTTGGGAGAGGTAAAGTGGGATATAAATAATAATAATAATGTACAAGTTGAGTATCCTTTTTAAGTGTTTTGGATTTGCATATACATACATAATGAAGTATGTTAAAGATGGGGTGTGATATATTAAACATAACATTCATTTATGTTTCACATGAACCTTATACACATAGCCTGGAGGAAATTTAATAGAAAATATTTAATAATGTTGTGTACATATATTGAACCACCAGAAAGCAAAAATGTGGCCCTCTTGAGTTTCCCAGAGGCCTGCAGCCCTTTCTAATGGTGTCATCACTTGGTGGATTTCCTGTTTTTCTACAGGGTTTTCCACATTTTAGAAGACTGAAATTGTTGTCTTTGGTTGTGTTTTGCTCTTAAGCTAAAACAGTTTCTTATCCTCAGGCTGCATAAATGTGCTTTCACAATTCAATACAAAATGGACGAAGTCTGACCCTTTCAACACTGGGCATTGGACTGCAGTAACTCACACCTTTCTTCATTATTTACTATGCATCATAGGACTGATGGGACTTCGGTAGTATTTAAAAATGGTTACATTAACTTCTTTTGGTGCTTTTAAGTTACAATCACTTATTAAGGATGGGACTACTGGCCTTGAGTGTGAAAGAAGGGAAATCTAGTTTGTGTGGGGTTTTTTATGAAAATTCACAGCACATCCAATAATGACTCATATTTGCCCATCCCTTCGTGTGTCAAAAACATCATCCAAATACACCGTCATGTTTAATGTCCACAAGGAATGATCTTAGTGAACCACATGATACTTCTAGAATTAATGAGAAGAAGAAAGGGGTATAAATCTATTGTGTCTCAGAAATATTAGCTAAGAATTGTTGCAGCAGATATGACGAAGTTCTAGATCTTCTAGCAGTGGTTCTCATCCTATGGGTCCCTAGATGTTTTGGTCTTCAACTCCCAGAAATCCTAAACAGCTGGTAAACTGGATGGGATTTCTGGGAGTTGTGGGCCAAAACATCTGGAGACCCACAGGCTGAGAGCTACTGTTCTAAGGGCTCCTGTACAATTGTTCAATCTACTATTGAAATGCTTGCCATCTAGAAAACTATACATAGTTCAGTGATATGCTTAATAGTAGTGGATTGATCCTTGTTATATTTTAAGGAGCCACTGAGTTCTCAGTTGTTTTTGTGACAATGAAATAAGGTGGCCTGCTTTCCCAATAGTACACAGTTAAAAAATAGGAGTACTGTTCAAAACTGAAAAAACAAAACAAAACCAAGCTACATTCCAGAGCTTTACTTCCTCTGATGCAATTTTCAAACTGCAAATTCCAACAAGTGTAAACTTACCAAATTCACCTTCGGTACTGTCCAAAGTTCGACACTATTTTTAGAAGCAGCTTTCAGGAAGTGATTGGATGTTCAACTTTCACTTTCAATTTTTGTGTTGTTCGTAAACATTTGGAACTGTACCTTCGCCATCTAGTGGCAAATCTAAGGTTTCTTACACATTTTTAGAAATGAAGTGTATTTGTGTGTTCCCAGCACAGAGCCTGCTCTCTGTTCACTTCAAAAACACTATGAACAAAACTGGCTTTGCAGTAGTTAAATTTGTACTTAAAATGCTAATGGCACTAATTTTTGATTAAAATTATGAACGATGAAAGTTATCAAATTTGTAGCAATTTCTTCCAGAAATGCAACGATACAATTACCATTACTGCTCCAAAGTTGGTATTGCTGGAAACCCAGTTACTAATGTAGGTAATGAAAAAATAACATGATTTCCAAGTGCATTGGGCCCTAAAAAGGTAGGCAGGGTGCATAGAGATATGGTATTTCAATCTCAATCATAAACTGGATTGTTTTTCAGAGCATTAGGAATTTTAGTTTAATATCATTTAATAATCTGTTTTGTTTACATGTATATGTCAGCGTTTTATTTCATTGCATGGGTTTTTGTATATCTATCTGGATAATTTGTTTCACACTAAGTATTATATTACTTTTCTGTTTGCGTTACTCCTTCCATCTGAGTATGATTCAATGAAATCCCAACGCCACAAAACAGAAATACCTTCATTGGTCAATCAAAATGCACAGAATACACCATGCAATCTCCTGAACTGGCTTCATCATCAGGCAAAAAAGTTAAAAATCATACAGGAGAAAACAAAATGTGACAATCGCAGAATTGCATTTTCTTCCAGAAGTTATTTTTGTTGTTAGTTAAGATGGGAATCTCTATGCAGATAAAGGATTCATCTACAGCAGAATTAATGCAGTTTGACACAACTTTAACTGTCATGGCTCAATTCTATGGAGACCTTGCATCTGTAGTTTGGTGAGGCACCAGCACTCTTTGGCACTCCCATTACTCCATACAATGGCAGTTAAGGTGGTATCAAACTGGATTTCATCAACACTGTAGAGCAGGCGTGGACAAACGTGGGCCCTCCAGGTGTTTTGGACCAATTCCCACAATTCCAGGAATTGTGGGATTTGAAGTGCAAAACACCTCGAGGGCCCACGTTTACTCATGCCTGGTGTAGGGACTACTTCCCTTCTTGACCATGTGGGGACTGGGAACAAGGGGCAATAAAAGAACATATGCTTTCTTTTTTTTTTATACCATTTATTATTCTTGTTGTCATTCTCTGAACCTGCTCCAACTTGTCTATATCCTTCTTAAAATGAAGCACCCAGAACCAAATGTGACTATTACTTCCCTTGACTTGGAAACAAGAGAAGAAGATGGGAAAGGAGAATGAATTCAAGCACAAATTCTTAATTTTCTGAGTGTCCTCGGCTTGGTGACATAGTTTATTTATTTACCATATTTGTATCCCACCTTTCTCACCCTGGAGGGACTCAGGGCAGCCTCACAACAGGCAGCAATTCGATGCCATACATACATGTATCAAATAAACTATTACAATTAAAACCAAACAATTAAAACGTAAATTATTAGTTGCTGAAGGGTGAATTAAAATTGGCTTCTCAGAAGACCTACTGATTACCTTAGTTTCCTTATCTACTCTTCCTTATCCTAGTGGAACCAGGAAACCCAGTAATGTACCGTATTTATAATATCTCTACATTGCAAAAATCACTAATGCTGTACAGATCAAATAAATCAATAGCAATAACACAAACATCAGCAATAAAAACATATTTAAGAGCAAAACTGATAGAGATTCTGATTAAGGAGCAAGATATCAATGGCTTGGAGAAACAAGCTAAAGGATTTATTATGGGAACTGCATTCTAAGATAAGAAAGTTGCTCATGGTGCTAATCTAATCTAGTTACATTCTAGGGAAAAGCCGAGAGAGGACTGGCAGGAAGAGAAGAGATGGAAGATTAGTTTTCATCAAAGAGGGGGCAGGATAGATAGTCAAGGAGTGAGGACACTTTGGGTTACTAAAACTATTGAAATCTATTACTATTGATGCTCTAAAGTATTCTTGGCTTTTCAGTGCTAAATGCTGTTACACTTCTAACAAGAACAAAATTAAAACCACCATCCAGCTTAAACAACTCAAAAGCCAGAGGTTGGAAACATTACCTTTTGGGGAGTTTTTGAACTACTTGATAGCTGTGGAATATTGGAATTTTCGCTCCCAGAAATAATATTTCCAATTGGTGTCTAATTGTAGGATTGTTTTACATTTGGTTCCCAAAAGTTTTGAGATTGGTTCCATTTCACTTTGGGGATGAAGGATTGTTTTGATTTTGAAAATTTATGGAGGATAAGTCCTGCACTGGATTCTGGAGATTTTATCACACAAAGCCACAATCCTGTAGCAGTTGAGCAAACAACAAAAGCAGTAACATTCTGGGATGATTGCCCTTGCTAGCACCTCTCTGCATTCATGTAGCTGCACTGATTTGCTGATCTGTGGTCCTGCAGTTGTACTTCTGTTTTATTATGCTACCAAAATTAGATCCCAACATTATGAATTATGATCCGTAGTACCATTGGGACATACAGTGAGCCCACGTTGACTTTTCACTTTGTCCCATAGTAACCTTCCATGATTTCCCCTTGGAATGTTGCCTCAACCATACTCCGGACCTCAGGATGTAATCTTATGATCATAATAATCCTCTCACAGTAGCCTGGGAAAACTGATGGGACACACAATGGGTTTGTACAAAAGCCTCTGGGTTTTTTTCCTTGTTTCTCCCTGATATGATCTGCCTTATTCCTGGGAATGCTTCCTTATCCCAGTTCACCAAATTGGACCTCTACCTGGGGCTCGCTTTGAAATTGTCAAACTTCTTGAACTGGACTAAAACTCATTGTATTAACTAGAGCTGAGATATCAAGGCACATTTCAGCCCATTCTCACTTGTCCCAATACAATCCTTTCTAATCGTGTCTCTTACCTGAGTGGATCAATAAATGGACACAAATCTCCAAAATAATCCAATGTTAGTTTATTAGACTTTCCTGCCATGGCAGGGACCAACCAGTGATCATGTTAGGTGGAGTCCTGGACTAACCAGGGAGCAGTTATTTGCTAGACATTTTCTGGACCAATCAGAAGCCAGTGTGGCAGACTTTAATAGATGCCAAAATGCTAAAAACAATA